TCTCTCTCCGCTTAAATGTATCGCTTTTTAATGCCTGAACTCTATTCCTACCTATTTCGTGGTTGTACATGTGTGTCAGTGACCAACTTTTATGCTAGATTATTTAAGTTAGCTGAGTTAGTCATTCCTTATCCACTTACAATTCAAATGTTCTTACAGTCTACCTGATCTCAATCTATTTGCCTGACCTACTTACCTAACGCCACAGTAATTGTAAGTTATTTGCAAAACTGTATTATTTCCTCCAATCGGGTTAATTTTTAAGTGTTATTTTGCAGGGATTTGGTTGGTTTCAAGTTTGATCACTGATTGGTACCAGTTATGGAACCACTGAAAACCAGGGGGCAGTGGACAGCTGTTTAGTCTTAGAGTAGGATCCTTTGGGGGTACGCACCCATAATCATACTTGGAATCAAAGACTGGACCTTCAGAATACGAGGCGTGCTCGCTGACCACTCAACCACTCGGACGGAATCCAACGGCCCATGGATTCTCTAACCGACATCACTCCATGATAAAACTTGAAACCAGTCAAATCCTTACAGATTAACACATGAAAATTAATCTGATGTTCGCTGGTAACTGGCTACAGGAGGAGGTTACTTGGGGCTCAAGTGAGAAGTCATAACCATTGGGGTCCATGAAGTTGAGCTTGGGAACAAAAACTCACCGATACCACTGGTTGGTGGTGAGGACAAAAACTGCGAGTTGATACGGGTCAGAATTCATGGGACATTGTGTTCTGTGAAATTGGTTCAATGGTTAGTGAATTCACCTCGTAAACTGAAAGTCCCGCATTCGATCCTCAGTGGGGTCATTGGTGTATACTCTGGAAGAGTCTGAAAACAGTACTTCCTGGTTTCCATCTGTTCTCGAAATGATATCAATCTGTGATAAAACTTGAAACTAATTGGGTTAATCTAATCTTTTGTCCAGTACAGTTTATCTCTTAGTGATTTGGTTGACCTATATGCTGCCTGATTTCAGCTGTATTAAGAATTCTTCGCAGGACTACCTGCGTTCATTTACTCTTATGTAGAACTATGTGTGTAAGATTATTAAAATAAACTTATCTAATATGGAATTACATTCTGTCACAATGTCCAAGTTTTACACTCACATTAAGAACTATGGAGGCTTTAAATCACTTTTTGTTCTTGTTATGATCCTTATTTGCATTACTACTCCAATCTATCTTATGTGTTTTACTAAATTTAGAATGAATTCTGCCGAGAAATTATTTGATAACATTTTCTTCATTTGTCTCGTATCCTTATTTAGATTTTCTGACTCTCTGATTAGATTTCACAAGCATTTATTCAAAGCCACCTTTACTGGTTTTGGGTTAGTTGATTCCGCATCCAAGTATTTATCAGAATATGTTCATTAAGTTAACATCCAATAAATGCGATAGAAAAGATGCAGCGTCAGTTCAGAATATATGGAAAAGTACGCTAAGATAGGAGATAGTTAAAAACCAATGCCAGACAAATTAGGAAACTGTGGGGATACATTGGTATGACTATAGACAATAAACTGTGCTTGAAATGCCATTCAGTTATTAATGATGCATCACTGTGTGTTATATCAAACTTATCTTTTATGGAATTAAAATATCACTGTATTTCTGCACTAAAAAAACATTTCACTTACAGAACCAGTTGAAATATAACAGAAATAATGCAAAGTAAATACTTTCGATAGCAACATATTCTGTACAACATAAATCCACATTTATGTTATGAAATAAATGCGCATATATTTATATCCACAGAAAGCTGATTTTTGTGTTCGATCACTCGACAGCTGAAGTATGGAAGACATTTAAGTAGAAGGACTGTCTGACTCATTTAACTGTACTGTACGCTACCGTAATTCTCATTCATTATGTCACCTTTACTTACAGTATAAGAAATAGCAATAATAGAAGTTGAATATTTTTAGTTAATATGTCAGTATAACATTTTTGATATTTATAAAACATAATAAGACTGTAAAATATGTGGTCATAACTGTCAGGTAAGCACTACGTCATATTCTAAAGAACCTGCATCACCTCAAGTTAACTAAATTTTAAAAATCATTTTTTGCAGTAGATTTGAAATATTCACACAACGTTAAATAAAAATAAGAAATGACACAGCATTCTTTAGAAGACAAAGTAATACTTTTTAATGCAGACGATCTGGAAAAAGCAATTCGTCGAATAAAATATAAAAAGGAAGACTGCTGTTATTGACAGAAAAATGCTTACTTTGATAACGTGCTAAATTCTGTTTTCAGTTTTAGAAATATGAATTCATATCACAGGTAAATGCCTACATAGCTTTTTTTCTTAGGCTTCCATCCTGTATTATCCTCGCTACTTTTACTTATTAAATATCATTGTATATTCCGATTGCAGTGAACAGAGAAAATGCACTGGCTATTCATCATATGAATGCTATCCAAAATTATCAGTCATCAAGGTGATTTAGTATATATCTCAAAGATTTATTCGAGTATAGTTTCGCTTATCTTGAAGGCCTGACTTTTAGTTCTCTTGATTCTCACTGGGATTTCTTGCAAAGCAAGATTACTTGAATTTTAGACAGTGATGAGGTGTAAAGTAGCCAAGAGTTTAGCAGGAAGTAGACGTTTTTGAAGCAACAGTTATTTAGTACAGAACTTTCGAAATAAAAAAACCGAAGAAATCCATTATGGGTAAATTTTATTTTGATAGAGTCTCATAGTGTTATACAGTAATGTTTACTGATGACGTTTCGAGCACAATTTATTGCTCATAATCATATCAACTTGATATGATTATGAGCAATAAATTGTGCTCGAAACGTCATCAGTAAACATTACTGTATAACACTGTGAGACTCTATCAAAATAAAATTTACCCATAATGGAATTACACTCTACCACAGTGCCCAAGTTTTATTCTCATATCAATGAAACTGGCATCATGCTGAGAACCTTGGAAAGCAAGGAACACTTTTCAAACTGTAGTTTTGCTGTTTTTAGCGCTGTACAAATACGATAACACGAGCTTCGAGTAAATACGTCACCAGTCAGCTAGTGACTGAGGCAGAAATAGCTTGTGTTTATTAAATACTGCCTATTTGATAGATATGTATAACATTACTCCTTCTTACTAGTGATTAAGTTTATTCGCGCTTGACTCAACACACCTTACTATCCACGTCTCACCATCTTCAAGGTAGGTGTTTTGGATTTATTAGTCACTACTGAATAGTGAACTGAAAATTCGTCTGCCATTTAGTCGCTGCAGGAAATGAAATTAAGCAAACGTAATGGCTGAAGTCATTTTACACCCATTGGTTTTGGAAAAACTTATTAACGTTGGGAAATTCAACGAAACTACAGTCGATATTATGGTTTTTCACATGGTGCTTTGGCCTTAACGGATAATTTTAATTCTCGTAATCTGAAGACGTATTTCGCCAAATGACTGACAGGTTTCAAGATGTCATCAGTGTATGCGTATATACATTCATATGCCTTAAGCTACCAAAATCGTTTCAGCTCTATATTGAAAAGTTTTGAAAATACGTGATTTATTATGCTTTGCCTCCTGAAGATACTTTAAGCCAATTTCACTATTATTTTGTATTAATTGCTTGCCTCAGTTATACACATGCTGCCAAAATTAGTCACTCAATAAAGTGTCTGTCTTACGTGATACAGGAAATCTGACGACTTACATAATAGTTACAGCAATTAGATTAGCATTCCGTATCTTATTTCTAAGTAAGACTTTGTCCAGTGTTTTTGTTCTAAGCAGAAATTATATATTATGTTGACAGTCTATGATGGTATGTTTTTCCCAGTCTGCCGTAACATTTCATTGTAATCTAAATATTATAGATTATTATATATTATAAGCTAAACGTTACTACAACGTTTAATGCGTTCATGTTCTACAACAGTCAACTCAAGACATCAGTCATTACATACAACATATTGGCATTTCGATCATTTCAGAATAAATACCTGCTCAGAAGTTAACTGACATACCTCTTACTGCTGGATAAACTTGCAACAAATACATGATGTGTATGTAAAATTTAGATGATAAAGTCATGTTACAGTCTTTTAACACTTCCAACAACACCTACCAGAAAGTACTCGAATTCTGAATCAAGGTAAATAATCGAAAAACAGATTTGTGTAAGTGATGATTTGCTGAAATATAAAGAATATGGGTTCATTGACAAAGCACTTAAGCGTGTAATATAAAAAACAAAAGTCACTTTCTACAACAAAGATTAGCGTTCAACATAATATTTTAGAAAACATTAGATGCAGTCAAAACATTATAGTGTTAGAGATATAAATTGCATGAAGCCATAGTAGAATGATAGTATCTGATATAACACACACTGATACAGTATTGTTTATTTAATCATGACATTTGAAGCACAGTTTAACACTCATATTCACATGAAAGTACTCACATAACTTCCAGATTTTGTTCCACTATTTTTTATCCTTTGATGTTATCCGTAGTGTCTTGGTTTCAATTGGATACACATGCATAAATTCACCACAAAGCTTATTTCAACTAATTTAAGGTTTTTTCCTAAATGGACTGATATTATCTTACTAAAAACTTTTCTATTTTAAAGTTCACAGTTTCCAACAAATACTCCGTATTTTCAAGTGCTGGTTTGTAAGGAATCTGACTGGTTCCAAGTGTAATCACAGATTAACATCAATTCGAGAACCGTTGAAACTTTCCAAAGTGTACTAAACTAGGACGAAATAGTTGTCCAGTACTCTGTGTTTTCCACTAGTTCTTTGACTGACGTTGATCTGTGATTAGACATGAAGGATCTAAATCTTTGTTTGGACTGAATGTCTAAAATAAGGCGAAATAATGCTTCTATTTTTTAGTGACTTATTCAATAATAATTTTCTTCACAATCCATCATTTCATTTGTGTACTTATATTGTATATAAAAATATTTTTTTTAAATATTCATTTGTAGAGGAAGTGCAAGCGAACAGAATGCTTCAGTTCTACTTAGGGCTATATGGATTAGCCTTATTTCTATGTTTTCTTGGATTTTTATTTGCTTTAACCGAGAAAGCATGGAAATGGTACAAAAAACGATTTAGTTCAGTGCTACAAATTACAACACAATCGACCAATCCAACTACAGATAAGTTTCTTATTGAAAACAACGAAAATCAGTTGGATTACACAAAACCCAATAATACTGCAGAAGTCAGCATGGAAAAGATTTTACACAGTGAGCTATTTCATATCCAAATATGGGTTTTGTACGTTATATGTTGTTAAAAATAAGAAAATCTAATCTGCGTTAGCTGAAATCGGATTTTTATGGCAAAGAATATATAACAGCATTTTAGAAACAATTCAGTGTTAGATGAAGTTTCTTTTAAAAATGATAATTTTTCATTAACTGAAGTGAAAATATGGATGGTTAACCAACAAATTAGGGGTTATAAATGTTACCGCGTCAGTCCACATACTGTATTTCTTTTGTGAATGCACGGAAACATCTACATAAAAATAGGTAACTCAGAGGTTGAGGTAGAATAGTGACAGTCAAAAGTCACATTTGTCTAGGTGACTGTTACATTTAGAATAACTCATATCAAGTAAAAATTATGAAATTAGTCTAAGACAGGAGAACGAAGCGAAACGTTAGCAGTAAAATTCATCATCCTGAACTCAAGCTATCACCGGTGAAGTTTCAAGTATGTTTACTTATGATATGTAAAATAGATGTCATGTTAAAGCATCGTGTATATCTAATGAAAAATATGTGTATCAGAATAGATGAATGGAATAAAACTTGAGTAGAAACAAAAGTGTCGATTAGTTGTCCAATAAATGCAGTTATAACTGTCTTCACCTGACCAAATTAGTCTTAGATAAATAGAATTTCCAAGGTATTTTTGAGCTAACAATCTGAATGGTAGCCACCTGTTGATAATAAATGATCGGTGACTGGGTTAAACAGGTTTCCACAGAATATATCACTGCAAGATTTGTTAAATTCTAGTGGTAGTGATAATATAGGATTATATGCAGTCCAATTTCGATGTGTATACTGATTACCCAATAAATTTATGAAGCTCATAAATATCGGCATATTCAACAATGTGCTGCAATTTAAAGTATACAATATCAGATGTGATTACAGTTAAACAAAACCTACAAGAAAATCCGGTGAGTTTAGCTTAACAAAACAAACGTTAAGTTTGTCATTGGACCAACAGATAATAAACAATATTGTCTGACAGGAAATTAAAGCAATATTTAAAATAGGTCATAACCATTAATCTTTAGAAACGGTGAAACAGTTGTTTATGTTTTTGAGGTCACAGAGCTAAGACGCATAATGACTAATGATCTACAGTAAACATAAGGACTTCTTAAACTTACATATATATATATATATATACATGTGATACTTGAAAACGAAAGGTAATTACATTCGCTCCTTGATGTAAGTAAATGCAAGGAAATTTACCCTACTTACGACAGAAAGATACAGTCTTTCAAACAATTTTTAACCGCTGTACTCAATACGAAAATTTGAACAATGTGTAACTTTTCGAATTCGAACATTTGCTTCAATAATAGTTACTGTAATGAAAGTGTCTTAAGTATCAATGAAAACAACTGCCTGAAATTATATCTTCCTTTATTAATCCAAAACCTATTACATAATTTTATTTTTCATATTAACTCATTATCAAGGAGGAAGTGAAAATAACGTAAATCCACCAAATTTTAGCGAAGAAATTGAAAAAATGGGAATAACTATCAATGAAAAATCCTTAGAAGAAAAAAAGCCGAATGGAATCAAATCTCCTGTAGATACCTCAACAAAATCTTGGTCTGAACGTAGACAAGAAAGACGTAAACGCTATAAGGAGAAGAAGGTTAAATCATCACCGACATCTGGTTACTTCTCGAATTATTCTTCTGTCGACGAATATGAAACTACAATGACAAATGATGCTAACACACCGTTTGATGATTCTGATACAGCTCCAACTATTACTCATCGTATTAATAGTGATTTAGTGATATCTGATAACAGTGATGGTCAGCCGGAATACTACATCCTTGATACTCATAATATGTGTGAACAAAGAAATTCAATACAAGTTACAAATTTAGATGATATTGATAATAACATCACCAATTCAATGGTTAACAGCGATTCACTTGATGTGAGTGATGTGTTTTTAGTCGGTTATTTCACATACTTGTTCATTAATCAATGAACTGAATTAGTTTCATTGTATTTTATTTTGGCTAGTAATCTACACTACTCAATCAGTTGCCTATCGACATATATGGTCAGATTATTTGACACTTGATTTTTAGTGAATTTTTTATGTGTGTGTGTGTTCACTATTCCAGATAAAAGTAATCGTTGTGAAGGTAATACAGTTTGCTATTAGTTATTTAAATGTACATTACTTAGTTCCCTGTTGAGATCTAAACAGAGCTGTCATTTCTGGTATAATAATAGTCGACTGTGCTTTATCACCAGTTAACAGTGTGCCTAGACTTGATACTCTGGCAAAATTTTGCATTATCTGTATTTATTTATTATTTTCAGAGTTTGAAAAATCACCGTTTAATCTCTTAGTACTTCCTGTTAATTAATTAGATATCCGGACTTATTAATTCCAAGGAATGAACTTTCCTTAGTGTGTAACTGCGAAAGAGACACTGCAGTGTATATATATGCTTTGTTGAGCTTGCTATCGGCTTAGGGAGGCTTTGTAGTACGTCAGCCAGGAATCTTACCCTGAATCAGGCTTGTGGTTGGCGAGTATTCTACTAGTGAACTACCAACACTACACTGTAACATGCAAATATAAGATACGAGACGAAGCAGTGACTTCTGTGTGTAAGCATACCTGATGTGCTTCAGCTAGTAGAATGCAAAGCCGAAGCAAACTAATCAGCTCAGCACTATGAAAATGTTTTATGTTGCATTTACTACCATGTCTATCTGAATCAAAGCCTTCACAAAGTAGCGTTTATTCTTTGCACACAGTTAAAAATAACCTGTAGCTAGTGTCTAGTTCAATAGATGGTAAAAATACCTAATGTCACTATAAGTTAAATGATTTTCGAAGGAGAGGCAGTTAAACCAATTAAACCTTTATGCACAATGGGTCTAAGTAGAGCAAATACGAATTTTACTTCAAAATACATTTTTAGGTAGCGCAGATGAACTAAATATAGACAATATAATGCCCGATTGCAAAGGTATGAGGCGCTATTATTGCATCTGTTTAAGAGACATCTACCAAAAATACAGTCAAACATATGTGTTCATCATTTATATTTTTTTTACTCATTTTCCTCTAAAATAATGTTCACTTTATGAATTCAATATCCTACTGATTCACATGCATAATTACATAGTCATGTACTGTGAATTAAGTCTAATTATGACAATAACATCAAATTTGTCTCCCAAAAATGATGTTACTTTTGGTGTTGTGTAATTCAATGTTACTGACGTTTAAGATCCTGGAACATGTACAGACCATCCACACAGTTCATGTATGCTTCAATAATAGATTCCCCCTATGGATGAAATGAAATGTTTAACTAATAAAAAAGCTTCGTTTTCCTCGTTCTCTGTATCAACAGTAAGTACGTACGACACCCTGAACATTTAGCTTCTACAATCGACATTGTAAGTTATTAACTGTATGACAGCCTACTAACTGACCTTGAAATGGACAATTATTTTTTGTCTAACCATAGTTATTATAAGTCAGGTGTATATTAATTCTATTCTGTTTTACAAGTGTTCAAGTGCCTTGTATGGTCACTATGCAACAAATAGGCATACATTTCAGGTAAAATCTACCTTATGATTTTAAAATCTACATTTCAAGCTTAAAGGCCACACACGATTGCTGAAACAGACATAAATTTACATTTGTTTTATCAAATATTCATCGTAATAAGCAGGCATGAAAATCTATGATTGGAAAAAAACAAAATTCCCACAATTGCTTGTGCGTTGGTGGCACAGTGGTTAGGACTCTCGTCGACCATGCACATGGTCCGGAGTTCGATCCCCTGCCGACGCACACGTGATATCAATGGTCGGCCTGCAAAATTTGGGCTACCGATATCACATGCTGAAAATTCCATACCTGTACCAAAAATACGGTGTGGAATCAAGCTGTAATCAAAAAAAAATATCTCTAACGATTATTGAAAACTGCTTGTGACGGGTGAAATCCTATTAATGATCATGTCTATGCGTATTTTACATCAGTCAGAAGTGTGTGTCGAAGGTATTTAAACACTATGCAGGTTCAAATGTATTGTACCAGGAACATCACCAGGCTACGAGGAGGACATACAACCAGTTTATATAAATTTTGTGTGTTTGTTTTTGGGGATTTCACTGATTTCAGCCTAGATCACGATTTGATATCAGTTTTAAGAAGTTTTGAAACCCAGGGATTCCTAAGAAGCTGTTTCATGCTAGTTTGGGTTTCTTCAGCAAGACGCATCCTGATGGAGTAACACATGCGCATTGATGAAGATCCCAAAATTAGTTCAACCTCTCGGTTCCTAATCTAATGGTAGTGTGTGACAAACTTTGCCTAAAAGTAAAACTCTTAAGAATCATCCCTAGTAATTTTATGTACACATCGCTAACAAATGCCAACATGTCTCATACTTTGTTGTCAAATAGTTGTCAGTAAGCAAAATGTAATTATTTTGTTCCATAAAATGATTTTAATATTATAAATTCTAAATGTAAGTGGGTGAAGTAACTTGATGAAAATTTGTTCGGAAAAACATTAGACACTGATGATCACACACTTTACATCATACAAATCTCATTCACCCTCTACCATTCTGATCGTTAGTAAAGCAGTTTGATAATCTGCATTACTGATAAAACTACAATTTTCTATGCTACATACACTGTATTATCGTTTATGCGATTAATGAATACACGGGAATTAAACAAGCAAATCATAATTTTTTAAAATGTTTCTTGTGTTTTTGAAACAGGAAAACTGTCTGGTCTTTTACATCAATATATATCCAAAACAAAATAAACATCTGTTCTTTTAATTATAAGCTGGTTATCTAATTCCCAAAATTAATTTGAACAAATTTTATATGTACACGTATATATATCTTTATGTGCAAAATTGAAATTCTATGTACCATTGCCCAGTTTACATATTTAATTATAATCTGCAGTAATATTTTATATTCTGAAGCATAGTATTACATAGTATTATACAAACATAAGTTGCCATTAATGTAGAATAAAAAGTAAATGATAACGGCGAAGTACACACTGGCCAAAATCTTCCAGTTCGACTGCTTCACACTGCCATGGTTCTCTTGAGAATTAGATTAGGCACACTAAGAAGTTTGTACAATTTGACCATGTAACTAATAGACTTTCAAAAGTATTCTCACTTTTATAATTTGATTGGTGGATGGTGACTAGCAGTGGAATCCAGGATGAGCGTTTCGTCCTATTTGGGACTCGTCATCTGGAAGTGCCTGCATTCCCCAGTGAGTGATGATGTTCCCACCGAGGCTCACACCCAGTACCCATAGTTTCAAACACCAAAGCCTTATCCACTAGACCACTTGGGCCTCGAGAGCTACGTCTTGTGCAACGGGTCATATTAAATATTCTTACTTTTGTTTTAACATTAATTAGCACGAACTACTGTTTAGCGAATGACGATTGTTCTGTGTTAAATGATCATAATTCATAAAATCTGATAGTGAACATTTTGTGGACAGTATTTGAAAACCTCATCCACTTGTGAGTGCACAGTTCTAATGGCCTGACTATTTTTCATTTAATTTCCAACAATTACTTCGAAATTATACTTGCTTACTTTTCTAGATTGCATAACGTGCTATGAGCAACCTTGGTGAGTAAAACGAAAAACATATTATGAACAAAAACATCACATAGATAAATCAGTCAAAGAGAGAAAAAAAGTATTTTCTGCACATAAAGAAAGAATTGAGTTCATTGCATTCAGCCCTATTTTTTCTTTCTTTCCGCTTCACTTATTCGCTTGATTTTACTGAGCTAACGCCTATTTAATTTTTAAGAAAAACCATACCAACACATAAACACTATTCAGTTAGTATTTATCAGAATAAAATATGGTGTATACATTGTGCACAAATAAAAGAATGCTTTCATCTGTAAGACAATTCATTTTCGTAAATGTGTATGTTCAGGTGTAAAAATTCATTTGCTTTTGTAATGTGATAAATAAATTATTTCCTGTTTCGCTTTCCTACACTGCTAGCAGTAACTGGTCCACTTCTAATATCACTTTACCTTTAAGTATTCACTTTAACCAAGTTCACTGATATATAGTCAGTAACAGGGATACTTGGTCTAAGTTACTGATAATTTTCTAGATATTTTCTACAAGTGGGTGTTTAGTTTACATAGAAAACTGGTCAATATGATTCGCAGAAATTACCAAAAGTAAGTTGACATCAATAAAGTGGTGGAGATATAACGCCATATGAACTTTTAACAAGTATAGTAAACGTGTACTTTAGGGAACCACGATATCTGACACATCACGAAAACTGTGAAGCATATAAGATCTTAACTGAACTGGATCTCGCAATGCATCTTAGTACCTTAGCAACATACTGGATATCCTTTACTTTGCTTATCTTCTTTTTCAAGTCATAACCTCACTAAGTAATTATTTAAAGTCGATTTTATCACACATTGGCTAGTCGATTTTTGTTTATCCTTCCCCATCACTCTTGAAATGGAGTAATTCATATTTTAATCCTTTAGAATACCGTCATTTCATATCTGTTCACATGTTGTTCTCTACATTAGGTTCTATACATGTTAATAACTTGTCATTCAAGATTCGTCGACATAAATTGCTCGTATTTTAGGCAACACATTGTCAGCCAGAAAGGAGAAATACACATAAATGACCAAGATAAGGACAGAACTTGGTAACTGTGGTAGAGAGTAATTATCCTATGGAGGAAATTCATTTGATAAATTCTCACAGTGTTATTCAGTTATACTTAATTCCTATGAGCAATAAACTGTTCTTAAAGTGTCACCAGTACATCTTACTGTATGGCAATGTGAGACCTGATCAGATAAATTTTCTTCATAATGAAATCACATAAATCATCACTTTTCATACTC